GAGATCATCTCTGCATACCTTTTTATTTAAACTTGCATTACAATGAAACTTGTATTAATTAATCCAATAATGTATTACTATTATCCAATATTTTTACGTTCTTCGCACAATGATAACTGCAAATTTTAATCAAATCTAACTGAATGCGAATGTTTGAGGCAAACGCAAATGAACCGAACAAACAACAAACACGACTTCAACATTCAAACATTTATTGTTCATTCGTTACTCATTTGTACAATGTATACCTTACCACAAATTCCGGATTGTATAAGAAGAAGGAATGAAACACAAGTTGTAACGTAGAAAATTTTTAGAAGAAAGAAGTAAAAAAACGATACAAAATCTATATTTTTAAACAACTAAAATGAGGAAATGGTACAAAAGCGGATCTTAGTGCTTAATAATATTTTTATATGTGAATCTTACAATTTTCAAGTAAACTTCGTGCTGCATAATCGTCTTTAAAACGCAGTTCCAAAATGAATAATGTAATATGTAATATTACAATTATTCCAGCAAACACAAAATATAACTGCTGTATGACACAGAAATAACATAATATAACAGATGTTACACGCTATTTATGTAAGAATTATATAACTTATATTGTACATACAATATAAGTGGATTATATCATTATTTTACTGCTTTGTTATTTATATAGTATAAAAGACGAACAATAATATAATTGCAATGTCGCGTGTTACATAACAATTGCTATGTTTATATTGTATTAATATTATATACGTTGAATTACGCGGGACTCTAATTAATCTAGCAATTGGTGCGTGCATATTTTCAGTGGTGAGTTCGATCTTTTCCGCTCGTGATGCCGTGTGTTTGAATTGCTTACAAATATTTTCTGAGATCGCGACTTTTATCCACTGTAATCTTTTGTCTTTTTTACTTTAATTTTACATAGAATATTATGTAAAATTTTACGGAAAGTATTTCTACATTTAATCAAAATTGCCAACAAGCTTGAGGTTATCCTTTGTTTTGAAAACCGTTTAGCTAAATAAAGTATCCAAAGCTTAAAGTAAATGCAGCTACAGATTTGTTACAAATTCATGCACTAATATAATTGTCTTTACATAACAAACTCGTTGTATCAAACTTTTGATATTAATACTATGCGAAGTCATACTGTATCATATTGATTAAATGTCTTTTGCACATACAAATCTCAGAAAAGATCCTTGAATTAATTCTAAGCGAAATTGAACGAAACAAACTTTCGTTTAAATTCGCTTAGAATTAATCTAAAAATCTTTTTTGGGATTTGTATGTACAAAAGATAAATCTTAAGTTAAAATTACAATGATACTAACAATATCATTACAGTAATGTAACGCAGCAAATTACATGTTACATTTATATTGTGTAACTGCAACATCCTGTGAGTGGGAAATAACAACTAACGTGAATGTTGTATATAACGTAAGCGTTATATTTTCTGTTACATTCTAATTTATGGCGATAATGTAACAGTTACGTATCTGTGTTTGCTGGGATACATATTTTTATCAATAGCAATAAATCCTTTACAGTATTTCTTAATGCTTATAGCATCATCATCGAATTAAAGATCAATTTAAAATGTGATATTATTGCAGCTTTAAGTTATGATTGCGTTCTTAAAGACCGAATGTAATCGGCGCGTAATTTACTGTAGCTAAAATTTAAAAATTAAAAATGAAAGTATTATTTACCAATCTAGTTTCGGTCATATCTGGGTTTTTCCTTTATTTATTTTTGTATTTAAATTTACATTAATGAACACATATATAACCAATTTATTCGCATTTTTATATTTTATATATTTAATATATTTGTAATTTTAATTTCTTACAAGAAATCTTGAATTGATTGATAATTCTTCGAAACGAGATTCATGCGACCGGATGTAGAGACATTGACAGCGAGTCGTACAGGAACAAAGACGCAATTAATTTACACGCCATTGGTCGACTTGGTATCTTCGTCCGAAAATCTTGTCGAGATGCTTTAACGGTACTGTATTTCCGCTCGATGAACAAAAAAAGAGATGTATCCACCTGGATTATAGGAAGAAAACGAGGAAGAAAATAGAGGAGTTGTAAAGGGTATGAGGGCAAGCGGGAAAGAAGGCGAAGAAGTTTGGATAAACTGCGCAAAGTTTTCATTAAGGATATTGGCCACCTTTTTCTTCGGCCGTCCTTTTTCGCTGGCTTTCACCGTGCCAATGAATGAAATCAAGAGCGCTCGGCCGCAGTAATTTTAATATAACAACGGAAGAGGAGAATTCCCCGACAGGAGAATCCTGCAATAATCGAATACAAGACTAATGCGTTAGCTATGATACATTTCCTTCTTATTTTCGCTATCCGAACTGTTGAATCGTCGATTATAACCAACGGACATTGGATTTAGTTGTAGTTTGCATACATGCATAAAGAATGACTCGAAAAATTGCCCGTTTTTTGGGCCCTCGATTTTTGAGTCGTAATGACACCTTATAATGAGACATTAATTATGGAGAAGTTTCACGTTGAGGTGACAATTGTTATCAGAGCTGGAGGAGGGGGAGGGATGAAATCAAAGTTTATTATGGAATTATCACAGGTCTGGGAGATCCGGTATTTTAAGGTTGTTCGCAGTTTTACGTAAATGACGCTTGTTTTGGATGTAAAGAAAATCGAGTTTTCGCGTAAAGAGACGTAATAAATAAACCCCCTCCAGCTGTGACAACAATTGTCACCTGAAACTTTTCGTGATTATGATATCTCATTATAAGATACCATTTGGCACACAATCCAGTCCCAAAATCGAAGGCTAAAAACCCCAAAAAACGGAGGGTGAAAAAAACCACCTTTTTTGGATCACTCTTTTTCTCTCTTAAACTCTCTTAATCTTTGTTACATAGTGTTACATAGGGCACCTATCTTTTTACAATTTTTCCGTATTTTTATGCATTTTATAATAGGTTTGAATAACATATTTGATATACTTTAATTATCATTAGGTAACGTTTTTGTGAATTTATATTTAGCTGATAAATTTAGATTTACAATATATTTGACATTTTATATTTTTCGTTACATTTTCGTCATTTTCAGTTCTGGATTATAATAAAAAACACTTTTTTTGTTAAAATTTCTTTGTTATTGGATCTGCCGTTTTGAATTTTCAAATTTTAACTGCAGATTTAAAATTATAAGTCTGAAAAACCTTTACATATAAAATTTTAATTATGTTTAAGCTTATACATAATTAAATTTTTTAATTTGACCATGCTGAATCTATCATTTTGACTTTTAAATTTCGACTTCAAATGCAATCAGCGACTCCAAAAACTCCCATATATTCAGCAAAATATATTCAAAAAATTTTTTGTGCAACACAGGGTTAATGAAGACTTTATCTTCATAAAAGTTTAATTGAATTTTTTTAGATTTTAATTATATTTTCCCAATTTTTAACTTCAAATCGAATATCTCTCTGTCTAAATGTGATTTCGTTAAAGAATACTGTCACATATCACAGAAACACTGAAATATATCATATTATTAAATTGGCTTGTGGGAAAGGGAAGATTTTTCATGATGAAAATGTGGCGCATTAAGTTGTTAATTATTGCCACGGTCGCGCAATAAAAGTTGAGGTAAGACGAAGCGGCGAACTTTCGCCCACTGAATTGCTAGCGTCGCCGCGCCGGCAATGCTCGAATGGCGCGATAACAATGATTTACAGCGCAATAATTATCTGTCTTGCCAGTCGTAGCTAAGTGCGGATTCTTACGTCCTTGACGAAGAGCCGACTTTTGCAGTCGATTTTCTCTTCTGTTTTTATTTTTAACCGTAGTATTTTTGTCGAAAAACTATTACATGAATTCTGATACAATAATTGCGTTCATATAGCAATTTTGGTCAAAAATTATTGCAACATCTAATAAAATTATACTTTGATAATTTGAAGTCGCGGTAACTAGCATCCATTAATTATCCGTAGATTTATTAAATTATTTTCACGGTAACACTGACGAAATTCTGTTACTCGCTAAGTAATAGCTCTTTATTAATGGCATATATGTAAAAGTTTAAAATTTAAGATAACTGAGATTAAAATTATAGTTTCATTTAACACACATCTGTCAAAGAATCTACTATCTACGAAAAAACTCGAAATTCTGAGGGAATTGTTTTTATCAGGAAAAAAAGAATTCTCTATTAAAATTTTCTATTAAGGTTTTAAAAATTTTTACTGAAATTGTCTCTTAAATAATTTTCTTCTTATTTTTCAAATATCTAGGTATTACATAAGATTTTTAGATAAATTGTATTTAGATTTTTACGCTTTGTTTTTAATTATGTTTTTTGTTTTAAAGAATTCTTTTTGTATTTAAATATTGGTGCTTTCTTTACATTTTTACAAGATTATTTTCTTACTGTATTATTCAAAAATGAAAAAATGATAATTTTCTGCAATGTAAAATGTTTATCTTATGAAAGTTCTTTCCTATTTTTCAATATTTTTTCAAATTAACATTTTAAAAATTGGTAACTATAATATTTTTTCATGATTTCATAAATGAAAGAAAAAACTAGAATGTTTAAATAATAATTAAATAATAATTAACTCATTTTTAATTTATTTGAGTAAAAATACAAACTGGCAAATTAAAAAAACTTTTTTTAAGATTTGAATAGGTAATGTATTGTTTTATTTCATTTTGCCAGATATTTTGTCAAAACATGTTTTTTCAATAAAAAAAATATCCGTTTTTCTATATAACCTGGACTTACATATTCTTGAACACAATTAACTCTAATAACTTCGACATTATCTCTTTATTACATCTTATAATTCTGAGATTAATTTAAGATTATAGTATATATTATTATGAGAATAATTTTAGATTAATTAATATATTAATAGAATTAGTATATTATATTATTATATTCTTCATTTCTTGACACAGAGCATACTCATTAATTAAATGTCCTCTCGTTCTCCAGGTACCCGTAGAACGGAGAACTCTGCCCACCGATTTGCCAGGACCATCTCGCCGGCGTCCGTTCACGAAAAGGCACTCACCGTCGGCGGAGGCGTGCTCCTCCGGGGGTAGCAGCGGCGGCGGTGGTACCGGCGGCAGCGTCGTTACCGGCACCGGTTCCGGTATGCAGACATCGTGTTCCCTACCGGAGACCCCGGTGTTCGCCAGGGGCAGCGACATCCCCAGAACGCCGCAACACGCTGGCAACCCTACGCAGTCGAGGCGACAGCCCGGTTGGTACGCACCCACCACAGCTACCGGGTGAGCATCAACACCTTCCCCTTTGTTTCGCATCCAAAAAATATTAGGAAAAAATATTCCTGATATTCGCGATTGAAATTCTCCGATTAGTCAGAGCTATTATAATTAATCGATCTTTGGAATTCTTGTAGAATTCTTACAGAATTCTCCGACTACATAAAAAGCGATTAAAAAGTAAGAACAATATACTTACAAGGGAATACATGGAAGTGTCCCCCTCCGATTTAAATGAGCTTTGGATATGTTAAAATATAGACAAAAATAAGGTACCTATTTTTTATTATTATTTTTTATACGTGTTGAGTCGCACGTTAAGGAGATGATATCCAGCCTTGAAAAAAATTGGTTTTTTTCTAAGTAAATATCGTGTAAACCGTCAAAGATATTAAAAAATGTTTTAAATAAAAGTTTTATGACTTCAAGTGCGTTTACAATAGCGTATTTTAATTTAAAAAAAAATCATTTTTCACTACCCCTCACTCATAATTTTCAAAAATCAAAATGCGCCATTGTAAAACGCACTTGAAGTCGTAAAACTTTTGTTTAAAACATTTTTTCATACCTTTGACGATTTACATGATATTTACTCAAAAGGGAAAATATCGATTTTTTTCAAGGCTGGATATCACCCTCTTAACGTGCGACTTAGCACGTATAAAAAATTGTTAGCATTTTATTTCTTTCTGTATTTTAACCAATCCAAAGCTTATTAAAATCGAAGGGGGACACTTCCGTGTGTTCCCTTGTTAGTTCCTTTGTTAAAATTGATTTGGATTCTTTTTTTTCTTTTTTTTTAGATATTCCTTACATCGAGAAAAAGTTATCAGATTTTACTGATCTCGTTGCGTCACTTTCAGCTATCGACGAAACAATCCCGGTTTGGAGCAGGCCATAATCGGCACTGAACTTCTCCGGCTGGCGGGGGGCCCGAATCGCGGATGGTATCCCACTAGGAAAGCGAACCAGCCGCGGCCGGCATCGATCGAACATCTCGAACGGCTAAACAATGCCTATGACGCGCGATTACCGAGCACCGGGGACCAGAGGAAGCCGCTGACTCTGCCTACGAACATCACACCCAACAAATACTTCGGCCAAAGTAAGCACAGCTCCGCCTCCAGCACTCGCGAGGCGCTACGGAGGGTCACTAGCTTGCTCATCAAGAAAGGTAAGCGCCGGGGATTTGCGCTGTTAGAAAGAGAAAAGCACCACGCCTGAAACGTTTGGCGTGCGCGACGTAGTTGGAAAACACGACGTCGTCGGCAACTCGAAGATATCACGGACCCTCATTTGCGTCCCAGGATGGAATTCACGGTTCCGTTTTTCCACTTTCTTTTCGGCAGTGCTATTATGAATTCAACGTACGATCAGACGCGCTTCCGATGATGCGTGTCCAGAGAGATACGCGAATGAACGCGATATACTTGAGGCTTTGAAGAAGCTATACCTATATCTTCTGATATGTTAGCAGTACTCGTAATAGTATTGCTGGTGGACCGTAGAATGTTACTTGGAACACAAATGTGGACGTGATTTTTCACAAGTATTGCTGAAAAAAAGAGATTTTGTTTAAGCGGTAAACGATAATTTTTATTAAATTTTAATTAAATTGTGTATATTTGATAGTTATGCTTATGGAACTGATTTATTCGATGATTTGTCTAAATCTTAAAAAAAAAACATCTTAAAATCAGTTTCTTTTACTCTTATTGCTTCTTTATATATATTTCTTACGTAGCAAATTCTTATTAGATCAGTATACTTTGTGATTTTATTCAAGTAATATTACTGAGAATTATAATAAGGACGTTTCAGACTAATGCAACATTTATTTATTAAATGAAATTAAGAATGAATTACAGATCAAGATCTGCGCTGTGTATTCTGTCATTTTCTTAATACATTTTATACATTTTAACATAGAAAAAATTAATATAAATATATATATATATATATATATAAAATATATATGCTACATCAATTTGATGGATCATTTCTCGCTGGGTAAATTAAATATGCATAGAAGAAGTTATTAAATGATTAAGTCATTTTGTATTACTGTATATATGTTACACTATATATACATATATATATATATATATATATATATATATAATAACATATATATAGTGTAGCATATATACAGTAATACAAAATGACTTAATCATTTAATAACTTCTTCTATGCATATTTAATTTACCCAGCGAGAAATGATCCATCAAATTAATGTCGAATTGACATAAATATGATGATTTCGACCTCTGATAATCATTTCTCACTGGGTAAAAGACATAATATATGTATATATACTTAATTAACTGTATTTAACTAATCCATTAATAATATTTGATTAATCCTTTTGTGCAATTGTCATTATCGCTTTAACAAATCACTTACGTCGTGTTTCCTAAAAATTTCGCTATTTGAAAGTCCGTAATCTTTGATAAGTAATCTGCGAAAAAATTTTCTGACTTGTATCGTGTGTGACCTTTCGTGGCATTTGAGTGCCACTAATTTAATACTTTCTCGTTCTTTAATGTCTTGGAATGCTTGCTTTTAAGTAATTTACTGTTGTTATATATAATTATAAAGAAATTAATTTATGTTTATTCACATCCTTAGTGAAAAAAATTTTTATAGTATATATATCTTATAAATATTTTTAAAAACTCTTTCCTAAAAATTCCCTTTAAATTTATGAATTTATTTATGAAAATTTCTGAAAAATATCTTAAATTTTTTCAGATTTTATAAATTTTTTCTTCAGAAATTATAAAATGACAAATTTTAGAATATTTCAGAATTTACATTATTTATGAAGATTTTTAGAAAAGATATGAACTTCCTCAGCACAGCTTTCGAAAACAATTTCATACTTAAAAAATTGAGAAATTTCTACAAAATATTATAAAATTATATAAACAGTCTGAAATTTATATAAAAATTCTGAAAAATTATATGTAGAATTCTAAGAAATATTTTCACCAAGGATGTTAATTAATGTCAATGTGTACTTGATGTCCCAATATTCCTCTTGTACATAGCATCAATGATAAACTTATAGGAATACTTAGTTAAAATATGTATCATCACGTACACTTTTCATTATTGATTGAAACACATTTATCTCGTTATTTATCACACAGTAATTGAAAATTTTTAAACAATTTTTCCATTAACTCGCGCCTCACTTTTTCCTTCTTTTATGCCATGTTTTCAAATATACATATATCTAATAATTTTTCTTTCATAGATGTTTCTTTATCTATTGCATGTAACATTTCTGCAATCTTTAATCTTTCCCGTAAATTATAATCTTTGCAGTATATCATTTAATATAATTTAATATCATTTAATATAATCTGGATCGTTATAATTGATTAATTTATTACTTCTTGTAATTTAGAAATTAACTGCATGTTTAACATGTAGTTAAATACAAGAATGTTATAGAATTGTATGTAGAATTGTATTATTATTAACAATATTTATTAACAATTATATTTACTCACTACTACTAAATATTAAATATATGCATAATTAAATGACGCGAATTGCATCTTTAGAATATAGTAGTTTTTTAGATATTTATTTATATAAAAATATGTATGAACACATACATTTTAAACTGTTTACGAGAAAGATAATTACCGACTGTTGATTCTTATCAATCATCGATATAACTCCATCCATTTATACATTATTCCATATCTTGAAATTTCAGTTTCTACTTTCTTCGACATAAGGCTAATATTTCATTTATTGTATTGTCTCTAGAAGCAATTAATCGTAACCGTTTTGTCCAAGACCGTATATTCGTGGGCAATAATACCTTTTCGTTTGAAGTTAGCTGCGTTCAGGCAAACGCATTGCGTATTTATACAGTGATTGTAACTGTTAAATCCAATATAATTATATTGCTCAGACATTATAACGATTATTTAAATATGATGTCTTTGCCTAGAACGCAAGTAACTTTAAGCGAAAAGACGTTATAAGACGAACGTCCGCTAATGTATATACATACAGAAAGCGGCCTTCCACTTGAAGTGGAAATGCCTTCCCACTCGAAGTTGATTGCGTTTCAGACGCATCATATAGATATTCGTAGTTATGACTGTTGAATTCGAGCAATATAATTGGACTTAACAGTCATGATGTATGTATAATAAACACCTGAGATGCGTCTGCCTGAAGTATAGCTAACTACCTTGATATTCAAGGATAATGCTGCTTTCCGGCAAATTTTTCAAGTATATTGATTGGCTACAAGCTAGAGAATTTATGAGAACTTCTCTAGCCTGGGTTAGAGTCCTAGATTATCAGAGAAGCGCGACCGGTGTTACGAGTCCTAATTGGCTAGCAAATGGCCAATCATAAGATTGATTTATCGGTATTAAAAATGCCTGCCGAATGAGTCAATCTTATGATTGGCTATTCGACGCCATTTTTAATATTTTCTAGTACATTTCCTATACTGCCATAAGGGGTGCGTTCCAAAATCTAACCTTAGTTACTGTAGGTCATTCCAAAATCATTATGGTCGGTTTATGGTCGACTTGTAATAGCGTTCCAAAATGGTTGTTTAGTCGACCATAGGGTTAACTTTTATGACCTCTCAAAATCAAGAGGTTGTGAAGGTAAACCCAAGATAAAGCATGGGGGAAAAGCAAGAGTCTAGTGTAATGGCTGTCATATAACTTAAGATAACCCAAGATAAATTTTACAAAGACATATATTTCCAAGTCGGAGTAGTCTTCTTGCAAAACGTAGATGGCGGTTTTTATTACACCGTACGAGGCTAATTGTTGACGGATCAGTATTGCGAAAAGAGCGTCGCCATAATCTGGCTGTTGCTCACCACAGCAAGGTGTGATTCTTTATTCCATTAATTTTATCAGACTTTATTATATCTAATAATTTTGCGGATTATCAGTAT